TGGATCTCACTCTGTAGACCAGGCTGGCCTCAAACTCACAGAGATCCGCCTAGCTCTGCCTCCCGAGTTCTGGGATTAAAGGTGTGCGCCACCACCATCTGACCGAGATATTTCCTTTTTTTTTAACTACATAAAATTTAGAGCAATGTTAGCAAATAGCAAAATTTGTGTATTGTTTTCTTCTTTTCTTTCTTTTTAAACTTTATTTTAAATTATGTGTATCTGTGTCTGTCTTTGCATGGCTATGTACATGTGGGTGCAGATGCTTGTGGAGGCCAGGAGAGGGCGACAGATTCCCTGGAGTCCCTGGCAGTTGTGTGCCACCTGACCAGGTGCTTCCCAAACAGGCTCTGGTCTCCGCCAGAGCAGCAAGTGCTCTTAACCATCGAACATCTCTCTCCACCCTTTGTTTTTTTAACTGGGGATTGAATGTAGAAGTTGGTGTGTGCAAGGCAAGTGCTTTACTGCTGAGCTATGAGCCATGCTTTTCTTTGAATTTGTGATCCTCCTGACTCAGTTTACACACAAGTAGCTGGGGTTACAGGCCTGTACCAATAGGCCTGGCTACTGTTGGTATGTTTTTGTTGCTTGTTTGTTTGATTTTCTTTGTACGTTCTAGATTGGCCTATGTTCTATGTAGCTTAATTGGTCTTGAACTTACCATGATTCTTTTGCCTCAGCCTCTCAAGTGCTGGGCTTACAGGGGTGAACCACCAGACATGGTATTTGGTGTTTTTAATTTTTCTGTCATTTATATATTCTCAGAGTGAAATGTCTCGCCTTCTTCTTCTTCTTCTTCTTCTTCTTCTTCTTCTTCTTCTTCTTCTTCTTCTCTTCCTCCTCCTCCTCTTCCTCTTCCTCCCTCCCCCTTCTTCTTCTTCTTTTGCCAACTTTTGACTTGGATTATAGCATTCATTTTATTTCAAGGAACAGGGACTTCCTGTGTAACCCAAGCTGGCCTGGTACTCTCTGTGTAGCCTAGGCTAGAACTCATAATCCTCTTGAGCCAGCCTCAAGAAGGAGGGCTTTTCTACTGAGTTGAGGCCAGCCCCCCTGTCTTTCTCTCACTGTATTTTCTCCATCTAGGGCTCACCGTGATTCTTGGCTCTCAGTAATCCAGGCTTGTTCCCTAGGTAACTGGACGTCATGCAGGTTTATTTGATTATTATTCCTCAGAGAGATTTCCCCGTTTCTCTCATCCCAGCTTTTGCTTTACAGCACTTACATAATACAATGCATTACCTATCAATTTGTTTTTTGTTACTGCTTCTTCCAGTTTTCAACTCTACCAGAAGCCTGAAGCCAGCTTACTGCTTTATCTCCAGGGCCTAGTTAGCATTCAGTAAATAATTCGTTGCCTGACAAGATGAAGGGATGAATAACTGTAAACCTAAATGACAAATTTACTTCTTAACCAGGTGCTGATTATGACTGTGAGCGCCCCTTTTTGGGAAGCCAAGTTTGCTCAGGAACAAAGGTCGTGAATCAAAACCTTAGGATGGGAAATAAGAGGCGGCCATGAAGAGGCTGATGAAACCAGTGCAGGTGGTTAAATCCTGGAAAGCTTCTCCCTAGAACAAGAGCTTCCTGTGATTTCTGTGGGTTAGGGGAGGGAAATAATTTGCACCTCATTCCTTGTGAGCTCTCTCTCTCTCTCTCTCAAATGGAGTCTTATATAACCTAGGCTGGACTTGAACTCTTAACTTCCCAAATCCTGGAATTATTGGCATGTACAACCTCATCTGGCTTCCTCATGAGTTCTTAAATATCCACACAGCAACTTACCAATTGTTTTCAAATGAACATCTACTCAGAGCCCAAGCTGTCCTGGAACTCACTCTGGCCTTGAACTCACAGTGATCTGCCTGACTCTGTCTCTCGAGTGCTGGGATCAAAGGCATGTGTCACCACACTGGCCACGAATTTATATTTCTTTGACAACTTTAAATTTTGCTTTAAACCCAGTAGTAACTTTATTTATAGCAAGTCATATGAACAAAAGAAGGGGAACAGGTCAGTTCTCCGCTTCATGACCCTAGTTTCTCAGGCATCTGCTTTGCTTTAAAGCTCTAAGAGGCTTCCAGGAGCTCTGAGTTCCTGGGCTGAGAGATGAAAAGCACTGCAATGGTTTCTAACTATACCTTGTAGTGATGTGTGGTGTAGAGGAAGCCCCAACCAGGGTTGATCCAGCAGATGGGCAACTCTTAACAGCTTCCCACTTTCTAGTTGTAAGGATTTGTCCTGTGACTACCCTTCCCTTTCTCCAGTATTCTAAATTCCTGAGAAAAGCCAAACCTAAATGATTAAGATGCTAACTGATAATTTTTTTAAATAACCAATGAAATCCAGTATCTCTGGTGATGTCCTGCTAACATCAAAATGTGTCTAGCTCTGAATCAGCAAACACGAATCAAACACATTGCTAAGAGGTTGAATGTATAGAAAAGTACTGTAGGGAGTCAAGGTTAATTGGAATGTTCCATCCCTGACTTCCCTAAGATAACCTTTATATAGATGATACTCCTCCACTCCCAAGTTCTTTTTGTCTATTTTTGTTTTTTTGAGACAGGATTTCTCTGTGTAACAGCCCTGGCTGTCCTGGAACTCACTCTGTAGCTCAGGCTGGCCTCGAACTCACAGAGATCCACTTGCCTCTGCCTTCCAAGTGCTGGGATTAAAGGCATGTGCCACCACCGCCTGGCTCACCCCCGAGTTCTTACAGTACTGACTCTGGAATATACTGGATTTCTTGACCATTAACATTTGTCTCAGGGGTATTGACTTTCAAGTGGTAAGCAGATGGACTTGGGTCTGACAACAATTTTGGACAACATTCTTCAGAATTCCTAATACTGTATGGAAAGAAAGAGATGGGAAGGTGAGAGAGGGATAGGATAAATCTAGATGTTTTTACTTCCCTGAGTTGGCAGGTGGTTCTAAGAACTTATTCAATTCAGTGTATATTGAATTTTTATGTGCTCAGGGCTGAATGTAAGGTAAAAGGTAAAGTGAATGTTTTTAAATGTACTTTGCAAACTAAAAGTATCAAACTTATCATACAATCATACAGTTGGTCTGGTTGAGAGCAGGGACCAAGTCATTCTCAAACCCATTCTTTTCCTGAAACACCAACTGCATGGCTGCCTGCATCCATAGCCCTGCCTGAAATGATTTGTAGGCTCCATACCAGCAGGGTCTTCTGATGTTTCTGGGCAAATTCCCTTTGCCCTCTTCCACCTCAAGGACTGTCCTGCTCCATGTTTCAATCAAGGCTGTTTCTCCTCACACACCCTACTGTTCCCAACCATCGCGAGACTAGCCTGTAGGCTCCGTTTCATGGGAGCTTGCATTCAGTACACACACACACACACACACACACACACACACACACACACACACACACACCACATTGTAGGATACACTGCTGGGACTTCTCAGTTGCCTCTCTTCAATACTGAGGTCCTGTAATCTAAATACAAGGCTGGTTTGGGATAACTAAACATACTTGGCTTAGTCTATCTTGTTGCTTTAACAGAATGCCTGAGAATGGTTATTTTGTAAAGAAGGGTTTATTTGGCTTGTGGTTCTGAAGGCTGGGGAGCCCCAGGCCATGGCACTGGCATCTGCTCAGCTTCTGGGGTATGTATATGTGTGTAAGTGCATATGCTCATGTACATATGTGTGGAGGCCAGAAGACAGTTCAGGTGGCTTTCCTCAGGTGCCCCCTACCTTTTGAGACAGGGTCCTTCACTGGCCTGGAACTTGTCAAGTAGGCTAGGCTGGCTTGCCAGTGAGCGACAGGGATCCACCTGTCTCCACCTTCCCAGTGCTTGAATTATAGACATGTGCCACCATGCCCAGCTTAAAAATCTCTTCTAGGTAAGTGCTAACTCTTGGGGCTGGAGAGACGGCTCAGCAGGTTAAAGTGCTGCTGTTCTTGAAGAGAACCCCGGTTTGTTCTCCAGCACCCGTAACAGCTGACAACCACCTGTAACTTCAGTTACAGGGGAGCTGACACCCTCTTCTAACCTCCATGGACACCAGACATGCACATGGTGCACAGACATACATTTAGACAAAACACTCATACACATAACATAAAAATCTGAAAAAAAGAAAAGAAAAAGCTAGACATGTGGCTATAATCCCAGTACTGGGGAGACCAGAGCATCCCCGAGACTCACTGCCCAACTAGTTTAGCCAAATCAGGAGTTCCATGAAAGACCTTGCCTTAAAAAATAAACCGCAGGCCGGGCGGTGGTGGCGCACGCCTTTAAACTCGGGAGGCAGAGCCAGGTGGATCTCTGTGAGTTCGAGGCCAGCCTGGTCTACAGAGAGAGATCCAGGACAGGCACCAAAACTACACGGAGAAACCCTGTCTCAAAAAACAAAAAACTACATTTCTGGCCTGACTCATTCACTGCCACAGACCTCCAAATGGATGGCAGAATATAAGGCTTTTTTTTTTTTTTTCATGCTGTGCAGCCCAGGCTAGCCTTAACTCACAATTCTCCCTCAGTCTCCTGGTGTGGGATTACATGTGTGTACTACCACACCTGGCTAGGACTGATTATTTCAAACAACATATTTGCTTCCCACAGGGCATGGCGTCAGATGAGAGGGAGGAGGCTGCAGCAGAAAGCCTGATCTCCTGTGCAGTGAATCCTTGGTAACAATGGAAAGGGAAACCACTTAGCCCATGTGGAGTTTGTCAAAACAGCTGTGAACAGGGAGCTCCATGGAAACGGCACAAACAGCAACAGCATCAGTAACTGGATATGCATTTACTTTGTATATCTTTATTTAAAAAAGTATAGGAAATGAATAAGATGTTATTTAAAATGTCTTTACATTAAATAAATTATTTTCATGTATGCATTGCAGATCCACAGAGACTGAGGTTACGGCTGATGGATGTTGGCTTGTCCCCATGAAGAGCCGACCCTTTTCTTTCATATGCAGCCACAGCCCAGCCAATGGGTGCAAAGGCTTCTTGGGCATCAGCAGAGCCAAGGTAGAAAGACACTGGGCTGACACACAGTAAGAACCAACATATGAGATTGATTGTCTCCCCAAGGGGCATTTGAAAGTCAGTGGAGAGGAAGGAAGCACACAGGGCCCCCACCCAGCGTAGTGATTCCAAGTGAGGGAAGGAACCACAGCTGCCCCTGGCCCTTCATGGAGGGTGGTTAGCATCTTGAGTAGCTGGGTAGGAGTTAGCAGAAAGCTTTCAGAAAGGAAAGTGCAGGAGCAGCACCCTCCTTTCTGGAGAGAACTCAAGAGGTCTTGGAGTTCAAACCTTCCAGGAGATGCTGGTAGAGCTGTCTCAGATGCTACGTGGGCAAGATGACGAGATGCTTTCTAAGGTCAACTCCCTGAACATTATGGAGCACATTCATTTCTTGAAGAAGGTTTACCAGAGATCTTGAACTATACTACCACAGCTTTCTCTCTAGATCACGGCAGGAGGGATTTTCCACTACCTCCTCCCTCTGTAAATCATGGGAGCTCCACTCTTTGCTTTTCATACAATTCAATGTCAATTTACAGCCACAAGCACACAGCATCAAAGCACTGGCAACAGGGAAATTATATATATAGACAGGATTTCTCTGTGTAGACCAGGCTGTCCTGGAACTCACAGAGATCCACCTGCGTCTGCCTCCTGAGTGCTGGGATTAAAGGCATGAGCCACCACTACCTGGCTTATTTATATATTTTTAAAGGATAAAATAATTCTCAAAATTTGTTTAAATGTCAAAGTACTGCTGCAGCTGGGAGAGACACACACCGCAGAGGAAATTTCTCTTATTTCTAAGAGTAAGGAATGAGAGGATCTGTGGTAAATTCTGCAGGGGGACAGCTGTATGCAGCAAAGGAGAACTGGGAAGTCTCTTACCGAGTAAGAGATACACACATGCTCTCTTCTGGCTGGGTAGATCATCAATCATCCCCATAGGCGCACATTTATCTAGTGGTCTGCAGAAACTAAAACACAGCTGTCTAAACAAGTTAGCAAGAGATCAAACCACTACACTAGATCAAAGGAGCTCAATTTATGGGGTTTTTGTTTTTTTGCTTTTTTTTCAAGACAAGAGTTTCTCTGTGTAGTTTTGGTGCCTGTCCTGGATCTCGCTCTCTGTAGACCAGGCTGCCCTTGAACTCACAGAGATCCGCCTGGCCCTGCCTCCCAAGTGCTGGGATTAAAGGCATGTGCCACCGCTGCCCGGCGGTTGGGATTCTGCTATGATCCAGCTGCAATGACCTCGGCTCAGGAGTTGGGCAGGGGGGCTTGTGTCTTGCATGGCGCTGGTCAGTGCATGTGTGGTGTAGCTCTGTAGGCCCACCTGTGCATGTTCATCGGGAACCCTTGAAGGCTACACGCAGACCCCATCCTCTCTCTGTTCTGCTCCCCCCTCACCATCTTTCTCTCTGCCCTCCACACGTGCTCTTTCCCAGGCCTGGTTCTTCTCCCCCTGCCCCTTTCCTAATAAAAGCTCTCTGCTACCAGGTAGCGTGGCCGTGGCTCCTGACCTTTTTGAGTGGTAAGTGCCGTTTATCATTTATTTCGCCGGCCATTTATGTTTTTAAAAGAGGGTCTTATATAGACCAGAAGGGCCGCCAACTTACTACACACTTTATGATGACCTTGAAATTCTGGTCCTCCTGCCTCTACCTCCCTAGTGCTAGGATTACAGGTATGCACCATCATGTCTGGTTTTAGGCTGTGCTGAGAATGGAACCCAGAGCTTTGTGCATGTTAGGCCAGTACGCTACCAACTGAGCTATACAACCAGCTCCACATTCAACTTTTTAAAACATAAAGGACCACCAAATAAATACTACTACTACTATTACTACTACTAATAAAAAAGCATATTGTCATTTTCATCCAGAGGACTCCAGTGAGAGCAGAGACCTCAAGCAGAGCTCCTGGGAATCCGTTAAGTCTCTGCTTATTATTGAGAATCCAGGGCTCATTGTGGTACTGTCCGGGTGGACAATGTCTCTCTTCTGACACCATGGCCAGCCCCAACACAACCTGAGTTCAGGAAGACCCAAGCTGTTAGGATGACATCCCCATCAGAAGCCACGATTTGCTCCTCACTGGAAGGAGTCCACCAGGAAATCAGGATTTGGTGGCACTTTGCAAAACCTACTGTTCCTTCTATTTGATTGCTCTCCCATCTGACTTCTATTTAGGACAGTTTTTCGTGTCTCAGTGCCTGGTGTCAGGCATCTCAGCAAAGTCTTTGAAATGGGGCCAAATTATTCTTCCGTCTCCACTGGTCCCTGGGTGTTGAGTAAGGGGATGTCTGTCTCCCTGATGCCTACCTCCCCCTTGTTGGGGTGTGAAAAAGTGTAGGGTTCACTCTCAGATTCAGGAGAACTACTAGGAACTGGCTCATCTGCAGTGAACTTTGCAGTCGGGGTCCTGGAGAATATAGGGGGTGGGGAGGGGGGGCAGTCCCCCGTGGGGCCCTGGAAGGGCCGGTAGGTGTCCACCTCCGGCTGGATGAAGGATCCACCGGAGTCCTGCAGCAAGTGCCCATATACCATGGTATCGTCGATGACTGCATACACATGAGAGTCATTGTCCTTTCGTCTTTTCTGGAACTTTTGAGTCTGGGGCACTTGGGTATTGACATTGCCATTGTAGATACCCACAGCAGGGCCCTTGTTGACCTTCTTCCTGTTTGCAGAGAGTGACAACAACAGAATGAGAAAACTGTGTCAGATGAGTGACACATAGGACTCCTTGGGGTTCTAACCTTATCTCACCTGAGTCCTTGAAGCCTACTAGCATTTGAAACTGGAACTGTCCCAGGGACTACTCAGAAGCAGCCTTTGTCTCAGGTTTCCAAGGTGGAAATTGAAGGATCATAAATGGAAGAGGTGGTTTAAGTGAGTTTGTTTTGACTCTGATAGACTTCAGGGGAACCAACAATGGAGATAACTTGTAATTCCTCCCCTTCTTCTTCTTCCCAGTAATAGGGATGCACAAGCCTTTCTAAACCACTTTAGCTCAGCACGCCCAGGCCAACCTTCTAGAACATACAGTACTACCCTCCCTGTACTGATGCTGCTGCTTCTGTTGCACAGAGCAAAGCTAATTAGCTAATTCCAGTTAATATCCGAGACTCGGGAGGAGAGAAGGGCACAAACTAGCTAATTTTCTGCTAGAGTTGAGGTCGGAACAGCTCATCATTAGCTGAGTGGCTCTGTCCCTGTCCTATCAACAGCAACCACCAGGGAAAAAGCTAAAGTGCAGACAAAATCCAGGATTCGGTGAACCATTAACTCGGGGTCTGTGGTGCTCTCTGGTCTTCAGATGTGGACAGTTGTTGGCATGTCTGCCCTGGGCACACAGCTTTGCCTTCAGTGAACAAAGCAGCAGGGATTTAGACAATAGCTGACTCCAGGAGGCGTCAGTCCAATTAGCAAAATGGGCTGCAGAATGCAAAGGCTGGCAGCTCACTAATCCTAGACTGCACTTCTGTGAGGTAAAAGGCCATCTGGTGTTGACCTGCGGCTCCCCAGGCTCTTGCATGAGGCCTTCAACAGATGTCCCTCCCTCATGTTCTCACAGTGCCTGGCTTTTCCCTCTACCCTTGGATAGTAGAAAAGACTGTCCCTGTTTTTTTTTCCCCCAGAACATTACCTGGGTCCTAGTGCCAAGGAAACCCTCTGAAAACACCTACAGCAGGAACAAGTTCAGTGCCACTCACTCCCCTTGTCCTTGCAGACCCTGCCCTCCTGCCTCCACTACACATACAATTTAGGGGCTTCACACAAGTGCATCAGACAGCAGCCTCATGCAGTTGAAGACCATACGAAGACTTCCTGTGCTGGCAAGCATCAGGTCAATCTGGAACAGTTTGGAGAAGGAAGCATGATGGCTGGACTCTTGCTCTTAGCCAAATCCCTCTGCTGTGGGATGTCTTTCTGCATGCGGTGCTTATGTGTTGCTCTGACTGGTTAATAAATGAGCTGCTTTGGCCTGTGGCAAGGCAGCTTAGTGGCAGGTGGGAAATCCAAAGACAGAGACAGAAAAGAGAAAGGTGGAGTGAGGGAGACGCCAGACTGCCATCCTAGAAACAACATGTAATGGGATGCAGGGAAAGCCACAGAACACGTGGCAATATAGATTAATAGTTATGGGATCACTTGGGAGGCAGAGCCGGGTGGATCTCTGTGAGTTCAAGGCCAGCCTGGTCTACAAAGAGAGTTCCAGGAAAGGCGCAAAGCTACACAGAGAAACTCTGTCTCAAAAAAAAAAAAAAAAAAAAGTTATGGGTTGAGTTAAACTATAAGAGCTAGTGAGCAAGAGGCCCGCCATAGGCCATACAGTTAACAATTAATATTAAGCCTCTGAATGATTATTTTATAAGCAACTGAGGGACCTTGGGCTGGGTGGGACTGGAGGAACATGGGACTGTGGGGCAGGCAGGACCTGAGAAAACTTATGGCTACATCCCTCCTTCCATAAGGCATCCGGGGAGTCAGTGTTAAACAAATGTGTCCCAACTGAGCAGGACATGCTGTGTACCCCAGACAAGAAAGCATCCTCCTTTCCTATGTAGTAATGTGTACTTCACAGGAAAAGGCTTCATGGACCAGGAAGGAGCTCATCATTCCTTAACAGTTGGACATTTCTAAGACAGTCAGTCCCACTGCACATCAGGAATTTGCTCAGAGCCATAGTGAACTTGAAAGAAAAGTTTGGGGACCGAGGGAATAGTTGGTAAAGTGTCTGTGGTGCAAGCATGAAGACCTATGTCAGACCTCCAGCAACCATGTAAAAAGCTGGGTTTGGTGGCATGCATCCGTAATCCCAGGGGTGGGGAGGAGGAGACAGGCAGGCTCCGTGCTGAGCAAGCCTGGTGAGTGATGAGTTTGAATCCCAGGACTCACATGGTGGAAAGAGAGAACCAATTCTCACACACTGTCCTCTGGCCACCAAACATGGGTTGTGTCATGTGCCCATGAGCATGCACATACATGCACACACACACACACACACACACACACACACACACACACACACACATAATAAAATGTAATAAAAATTATAAAAAATTTTTGTAAAATTGATTTTGAGGAATGACACCTGATATTCTCCTCTGGCCTCCAGAACATGCGTGTGTACCACACATACCTGCACACTCACACTCACTCACAAAAGTTTTTTTTTTCCCTGGGGCTTATACAGGGACACTTGGCTCAGCCTGGGAGGAGGGGACTGGACCTGCCTGGACTGAATCTACCAGGTTGAACTCAATCCTTGGGGGAGTCTTTGCCCTGGAGGAGATGGGAATGGGGGGAAGGTGGGGGGGGGGGGGGGGGGGGGGGGAGAACAAGGGAATTCGTGGCTGATATGTAAAATTAAATTTAATAAATAAATTTAAAAAATGAAAAAAAAAGTTTTTTTTTCTAGAAGGTTCAAATCATGATAAAGTAAATGGAGATCTCTGATCTTCATCAGACGTAAGAGAATTGATGAAGTCTGATGTCAAATTGGACTTATTTAAAAAGTCATTCACCTTTCAAGCAACGGAAGCTGCAACGGCAGTTGTTTCCTCTTAACTCTAGGGCTACCTTTTGGCACTGGTCTTCAGCCCCCAGATAAGCACAAAACAGATAGCTTAAGAAACTACAGGAGAACAAACTAGGGCAAGAGGTTTGTTTTTTCTCCAGGTAGCAGAGGGTAGTGGGTCCCGCTAAGATCATTCCTGCTACCATCAGCTTAATGAGCAGACACAGGGGACTTAGTACTATGACCAGGACGTCACAGTGTGTGTGTGTGTGTGTGTGTGTGTGTGTGTGTGTGTGTGTGTTTTATTCCCCCAGATATGCCTCCCCACCCTCTGAAACCATAATTCACCCTTGGTAAGAATATTTAACATTGATCTTTTCAGGGAACTGGGAAGCAAAAAACCCCAATATCATTGACATGAATAAGATGGGTGTGGTGACACATGCCTATAATCTTAGTGCTCAAGGAGCTAGAAGAGAACCAGGAATTCAAGGCCAGGGATATATAAGACCCTGTATCCATCCACCCACCCATCCATCCACCCATCCATCCATCCATCCATCCATCCATCCATCCATCCATCCATCCATCCATCTATCATCCATCATCTATCCATCCATCATCCATCCATCATTATCTATCCATCCATCCATTATCCATCTACCATCTATCCATCCATCAATCATCCATCCATCCATCTTCCATTCATGCATCCATCCATCCATCCATTCATCATCCATCCATCAACTCATCCATCCATCCATCCATCCATCCATCCATCCATCCATCCATCCATCCATCCAGTCAGTGTGTGTGATCCAAGGAGGCATCAAATCAGCCAAAGCCAGCTAGAGAGATTTCACTTACTTCTTTTTCACAAAGCAGATGATGAGTCCCAGGGCAAACAGCAACAGGGCTCCACCTCCTACTGCACCAATGATAACAGCCAAATCTGTGAGCAGAGACAGAAACACAGAGGAGGAGATAAGAGGGTTGGCATAAGGAAGAACTTGCTAAGTCTCCAGCTCCCAGCTTCTTCCCTTCTGAGCAGAGAGGCTAGAAACTGAAGATGATTGGGTCCTTTCTGAGCCTGATCTTTTTTGGGGGTGGTGGTGGTTTTGAGATATGGTTTCTCTGTGTAGCCCTGGCTGTCCTGGAACCCCCACTGTAGATGGCATTGGCCTCAAACTCACAGAGATCTGCTTGCCTCTGCCTGCTGAGTGCTGGGATTAAAGTCATGCGCCACTACTGCTTGGCCAGAATCATTTTTTTTTTTCTCTCTTTGAGACAGGGTTTCTCTGTAAACTCACTCTGTAGACCAGGCTGGCTTCAAACTCACATAGATCAGCTTGCCTCTGCCTCCTGAGTTCTGGGATTAAAGGTGCTGAGATTGATCTTTAAGGGAACTGTCAGCTAGTATGTTCTCTATGAGAGGAAACCAGCCAGTGTACAAAACATCTATGTGGAGGCCACCCATGTTACTCATGCAGAGTCTCCAAGGGTATAAAACTCAACTGAGCCAAGAGAGAAAACTAAAGCTCTAGATGCATGTCTCCAGTTGAACTATTCCATTTGAGCTGTTTGGTGCATGCGTATGAACCACTGTGTTGTCTGAATTTCTGACTCAACTGTTTGTTATGAGCAAACAAAATAGTTACTGTCTAAGCCAGTGGCTCTCAACCCTCTTAATGCTGCAACCCTTTACAATTCCTCATGTTGGGGTGACTCCCAACCATAAAATTATTTTCATTGCTACTTTATATCTGTAATTTTGCTTTTTTTTGGGGTGGGGGGTTTCAAGACAGGGTTTCTCTGTGTAGCTTTGTGCCTTTCCTGGAACTGTAATTTTGCTACTACATGAATCATAATGTAAATATCTGATATGCAGGATATCTAATACGTGATCCCTGTGGGGGTTGCAACCCACAGATTGAGAACCACTAGCCTAAGCCAGAGTAGTTTGTATGTATATACATGAAACAGATATGTTTGTAGGGGATCACCTACTTTCCACCTATTGGCTACTCCTGGCTTCCACCAGGTGTGTTCCCGGTAACCAGGCTGTCTTAGAGAAGGAAGAGCAGAGGGGAGAGCACGGACTCAAATGTCAGGAGTGAAGGACAAGGTCATTTCATCCAAGTTGTCCTTTCCCATACTGCACAATGGAAAAAGAGCACCGATCTGAAAAGGAACTCCACACCAGACAGGGATTTAGGATTCCTTGCTTGCTCACCAAGAAACAAGGGTAAGATTCAGAGGACACAGAAAAAGTGACAGAAAAGGAAAGTAGGAAAGGAAGAAAGTCCAAGTGGTAACCTCAGACCTGGAGTTCTCAGTAGTGGCTTCTGGTGAGTTCTCTCTCTCTCTCTCTCTCTCTCTCTCTCTCTCTCTCTCTCTCTCTCTCTCTCCCCTTCTCCCTCCTTCCCTCCTTCCTCTCCCTCCTTTTCAGGTCCTCATGTTTTAATCTTCATTATTGAATCCCTATGATTTTTCTTTTTCCTTCACTCTACAGGTGAAAATCATAGGAGTGAAGTGAATTCTATATATCATGGAGTCAAGAAAGAAGACTCGTAGCAAACTGACAAAAAGGATCCAGGTGAGTCAAAAGAATGTGGCAGAAGGGGTGGTGTGCATGTTCCTTCTATGCTTCCTTTGGTGTCTTATGCCTTTCTCAACAGGACCAGCTACGCAGTAGATAATCAAGAAAGCTCAGTTGTCTCAGATGATTTTGGTGAGGACTTTTGTGAATAACAGTATATAGCCAAGATCAGCAAAGTCTCATAATCAACCTGTACTGCCTGCAGATCAATGAGTGAGCCTGATAAGCCCAGCTCAGAACACACTTGCTCAGTCAATGTGTGAACAACAATAATAAATGCTATACCATAGCTGACTGATATACTAGTAGCCAGGACTCAATCTGTTTTTTTACTTGCCTCCAAACTTGCTCCCTGCCCCTCAAATGCCAATTTTCTTTCCTTCACCATCTCTGGGAGACTCTGAAAAGTCCTTACCCGTAGTCCTTGGGGTGAGAGTCACCCAGAAGAGCAGATCTAGCTGCCTGCCATTCATGGGGCTGCAGTTGGAGATGTTAACCCAGAAGCTGTGATGATGGAAACTTGGCTTAGGCAGCACTTCCTCTTCTAGGCTGAAGATCTCCTCCGCCCGGGTCTGCTGCTCCTGGATGATCATGTATGCTCGCCCTGACTGGCAGACCACCCCAGAACGCTCTTTGAAGAAGGTCAGACAAGCCACTTGGTTGCTAGGCACACTGATGTTCCATGACACTGAGGAGAGGGCAGGCAGGCCATGGTCCCAGTTGGGGGTCCTTAGGTAGACCTTGTTTTTTGTGTCCGGGGTCACTGTGAAAATGCCTTCCTCTGTAGGAAAAGGTAGAGATTCAGACAAATGTTTGACTCAACAAAATGGAAAAAAATGGGGACAATGTGGGGAATGCTTAACAGCCTATCCCAGCCCCATCCAACAGAACTTTCTGCCATAAATGGACATGTTTTTCGTTATGACTATTCAGTAGGCAGCTATTATTCACGTGCCTCTCTTGAGCACTTACTATGTGCCCAGTGTGACCAAGTGGCATAATCAGCATCTGAACTTTCTCCCATGTCAGTGTACTACAGGCTCAGTCACCAGTCCACAACACTACTGGGAGGTGATAGAAACTGTAAGGGGCTTCCCAAGTGCTGGGATTAAAGGCGCCCACGCCCAGCTTGGTTGGTGGTGGGACCTTTAAGGGGAGATGCCAAGCAGAAGGAAATTAGGTTATGGTGGTGGAATCTTTAAGGTTGAGGTCAAGCAGAAGGAGGTTAGGTCATCGGCAGTGGGACTTTTGTTTGTTGTTTTTCCAGACAGGGCTTCTCTGTGTAGCCCTGGCTGGCCTGGAACTCTCTCTGTAGACCAGGCTGGCCTTGAACTCACAGAGATCCTCCTGTCTCTACCTCCCAAGTGCTGGGATTAAAGGCATGCGCTACCACACCTGGCTTGGTGGTGGGACTTTTAAGGGGAGACATCAAATAGAAGGAAGTTAGGTCATGGTGGTGGAACCTTTAAAAGAGGAGGTCAAGTAGAAGGAAATTAGGTCCCTGGGGACACACCCTTAAAGGGGCTGTTGGGAATCTGTCCTTCACTCTTTTTTTACTTTCTGATGGCCATGAGGTGAGGAGCTTCTCCCATTACACATTCCTACTGTGATGTACTGCTCTAACACAGATCCCAAAGTACCTGGTCCTACCAAGGATGGCCTTCAGTCTTAAACTGTGAGCCAAAACAAACCCTTCCCGAATATAAGTTCATCATCTCACAGCAATGGAGAGCCAGGACAACAGAGACTCATATTTTTCATTTATTTAATATTGATTTTGGTTTACGTAATCACATGTGGTTATTGCACTGGTCAGTGAAAGACACATCTGTTAGACTAGGTGCCCAGGTTCTTTACAAACAAACAAACAAACAAACAAACAAACAAACAAACAAACAAACAAACAAACATCAGAACAGTTTGCCAAATGAGTGTTCTCAGTTTCCTTTCAGAAATGTTCCCAGTTCCCAACAAGGCAATCCCCCTACCCCACTCTGCTGTGGGAGTGGCATATATCTGTTTCTGCCTCAGAGAACAAAAAAGCTTAAGGTTTGGGAAGAAATCTAGAATTGCAAGGTTGAAAGAGCTTCCAACATGCCCACTGGTCCGCTGTGTGCTCCAGGTGAGATAAGACCCTACATTCTGTCCTGATGAAAATGACCCTGATTTTCAGACTTCCCAAAGGGGATTCCCTGGTAACCTTGGAGAAATGGCAGGCAGCCTGGGTTGACCTTATTCTATCTCCAAAGATCCATTTCTTTCCCACTATGCCACTGAAAGTCAACCTCAAATAAAAGTCTCAGCCAATTTTAAAATGACCTCTAATTCAACATAACCATTCTTTGAGCAACACACAATGGTGACTGTGACTTTTGCAATCAACTGCATACAGGTCACTCCAGAGCCACTTAGACCTCATTCTCTACCTCAGAGCACGGTAGACCTTGACCTCGCCTTTGCTGTGTGGAAGAACAGGACCCTTGTACTGCCACGTCTTCCCCAGTAATTCCTTTCTGTGCTCTCCATGTTACGTTCTTAAATGTAAAAGCGGAATCATAACAACCCAGGGCTGGGGAATTTCTCATTTCCCTCTGTCAGCTTCCAAAAAAAGACTAGAACCTGATTCTTTGCCTTGTTGCCTACCAGCCATTGCATCCCACTGTCAGAAACATTTTTTTTTTTCAATTTCTAAGCTCTGGAATTTCCATGGGAGATTGATAAAAAGTCATTAGGACCCAATGTTCTGCAGCCTTCCAGTGTGAGGAACCACTGCAATAATCCCTTCTCTCTAAATTGGCAACTTTGCATGGTTTTAATGTGAAAAGTCCCCCGTAGGGCATGTGTTTGAAAGCTTGTTGTCTCCTGAGTGACGCTGTTCAGAAAGTCATAGAACCACAGGAAATAGAGACTTGCTAGAGGAACTGGGACATCTAGGCCCTTAGGTCTTACAGCCCCACTTCCTGTCCACTCTCTGCTTCTTAAGTGCAGACACGAGGCTCGCACTGCTATGATTTCCTCACTGTGATGGACTGTTCTGGTAAGCTGTGAGCCAAAATAAGCCTTTCTTAAGCTTCTCTTCTTATGTATTTGGTCATGCAACAGAAAGTAACTAATATAGCATAAAACAAGATGCACTGAATATCTAACAAGAACAGCTAAGAGGGTCTAGCAGTGGGTGAGCAAGGGACCACATACCTTTGAAATACGGTATGAAGGACACTGTCAGGCCTTGCCTGGAGACCTCTTGTTGGAAGCTGGGGGCATATGTTCGAAGCGTCACAGAGCTGTTTTGCTTCACCTGGATCTTCTCAATAGAGCCTCCTGGACAGAAGGAGCCAAAGTACAGGCCCTGGCCAGGCGTGGTGCTGGCCATGAGGTAGCCGAAGCTGGTGTTGCAGGCCCTCTCACGTGTGTGCTGCTGTAGCTTCTGACCTGGTACCAGCATAAGGCTGAGCTTGTCCTTGGGCACCAGCAGCTTCCAGGAGAAGTCGTGCAGCTGCACAGGCAGCTGGAGGATGTCTCTGGGCACCTGCAGGTGGAAGGACTTCCCGTAGCAGTAGCGGTGGTCCAGGCAGCCTGGAAGAGAGAGCTGGTAGTAATCATATGCAGGGTGGGGGGTGGGGAGCATGGAGTGTACCCTCTTTGGCACACAGACTGGCCTGAGGCCAGAATCTGAAGCTGCCTGCTTTCCTTTCTACTTGTGACTCTTCACTAGCTTTCCTGTCCACTCTCCTCTTCTTGTCTATCAACCTTGCAGCCAAGCTCCTGTGAGTACTCAGGACAGAAACATTCTCTTCTTGCTTGTACCTTCCTTTGGGATGCTACGACACAAATCTCTACCCCAACATGTTCCCACACTTCATTGTCAGGTTAGAGCTGTGAGTGACATCATGGCCATCTCGGCTTGCATTGTGCCCCATCACTTCTAATTGGGTGGCTTCATTCGAATTTAGCTCCTGTGACCCTCATGGATTCTCAGCTTTGTGTCAGAGATCATGGTATCTCAGCAGGAGGTGACTGAGTTTTCTTTTTTCTTTGAGATAGGGTCTCTTTGTGTAGCCCTGGCTGTCCTGAAACTCTATGTAGACCAGGCTGGGCTCAAACTCACATCTTTGCCTCCTGAGGGCTGTGATTAAAGGGGTACAATACTAAATCTGGTACAGGTTTTTTTTTTTTTTTTTTAAAAGACAGGGTCTCATATAGATAGGCTGACCTGGAATTCTATGTAGCCAAAAAGGACCTTGAACTTCTGATCCTCCTACCTTCATTTGTCAAGTACTGAGAATACAAGGGTGTGAGCATGGTTCAAGCGCTGCTGGGGATAACTGAGGGCTTTGCAAATGCTAGGATATGACTGTACCAGCTGAACTTCATATCCAATCTTGAGTATGAGTTTTGCTGCATTTGTTAAAAGACTCACAAGTCACAGAAGGAGTCAGGCTAAGTCCATTTTGTTTGTTTTGTAATATAGGCTCTCATTTTTCCAAAGCTGAGTTTGAACTTGCATAGTCAAAGAGCAGTTGGTCTATGTTGTGTAAGGAATTAAAGCCAGGACCTAATGCACTCATTAGATGATATGCACTCATTAGAATGATATACAATCATTCTACCAACTAAATTACATCTTCATGTTCCAGGAGGCTAAATTCTTGACTGAAAAAGAGGCAGGAAGTAGGTAAGTGGAGACATAGGGATGGGGCAGCTGAGCAAAGGAGAGGACTTCCCCAGGAAGAGGCTGGCAGGTTGGGCAGAGACAAGCAGGGACATTAGCCTGCTGTGACCTTCTGAGGGATGAATGGTCAGCAGACATTGGTCCTAACAAGGCCTGTCGACAATTGCTGCTTCTCTCTCTTGTTCCTGTTCACCTGGCCTCAGTGGTCATTTCAGACTATACCCTTTACAACCCATCTACTAAGCTCAACTAAGATAGGAAAGATGGGGGCCGGGCGGTGGTGGCGCACGCCTTTAATCCCAGCACTCGGGAGGCAGAGCCAGGCGGATCTCTGTGAGTTCGAGGCCAGCCTGGGCTACCAAGTGAG